GGCGCCTGCACGAGTTNTGGGTGAGGCCAAGAGTCCTAACGGGGAATAGGACAGCGGCAGTGCAGTGATGATACCAAGGCCTGGTCTCCGCTGAGGCTTTCGCTGTCTCTGCAGCCGACACCGAAGATGTAGCCCACGGTCTAATTGGTCTGGAAAATCATTGGCAGCCTGTTCGGTATCAAGGCAAGCGAGAAAAACAGTGCTCTCGGTTGAGTGGCCTTGAAAATTGCAAATGTACGCCAAAACGGAGAGGTCGTAGGGTCAATGAGGCATCCTACAGGGCTGTGTCCTATCACCTCTTGAAGCCCGTTCTTTGCGGCGCATTTGGAATCGATTGCGAGGTCAACAGCTTACCAGGCAAGCGAGAAAACAAGAGCTCTCGCTTTTGCGGTAGTGTTAGGATCCTAGCGGCCTAATGAGGTTTCCTACAGGGCTGAGCCCTATCGCATCTTGGGGCCCATCCGCTGCGGCGCAGTTTGAAAAAAACGGTAGGTCAAGAGCTTACAGAGCAAGGGAGATAACGAGTGTGTGGTGACAGCCGTAAAAAATTCGGGAAAAATCCAAATTAACAGTTTATTGTGTCAAACAGAGTCGAGTAGACTTGATGGCAAGAGATGTTAATTGAATAGAGAGAAGAAGGAATAAAGATAAAAGAATAAAACAACGAATTCGTTGTCTCACAAGGAGATTTGGTTGCTATGGCGCTAATGCTGACGTCATTGCCCATAATCGCAACATATTGTCGTATATTCCAAGAACAAGGAGGATGGCGGCCAGCCACCACCAGCTTCATTTTCCATTCCTGGTGTCAGCTTCTTCACGTTTGGGCTTCTTCGGTGGTGGGTCCTTGGGAACTGTCGTCTCTTCGTTGCTTCCTATCGCTCCGTTCTCAGTGTTGTGGTTGATGGCCGACCCACCGCCTCCGTCATCCGCGGGCCTCCCTCCCGGGGAACTGGCGGGACGGACAGCGCCGATGAGACCCGGCGAAGGATCTGCGATAAGAGCCATGGCCTGATGATCGCGCTTCTCCGCACGCGGCTCCTCCGCATCCAACTTCATAGAGCCACCGTATGCTGCTTCTCCGCCGTCGCCTTTCTCTTGCGGCCCCCACGCATCCTCGCCTTGCTTGGGCTTCAGTTCCTCCTGGTTTAGCCTGTCGGGCTCTCGCTTAATCTGTCGTTCCGCCTCGATGTCAGCTGCAACAGCTGTTACAAAGGGCGCCGTGTTGTCGTCGGTGGCGCTAGTCGCGAGGCCAACGGGGTTGGCGAGCGCGGAGTGCAGGGCGGCGGTGAGCATGTGCAGGGTGAGGAAGTGTTCTACTGGGAAGTGTATGTTGTCGGCCTCGTAGAGGGTCCCCACCACGCGCGCCAGATTTGCCACCATTCGCTCCCCGCCCTGCCATCGCCGAACGTAAGCAGCCAGGCGCACGTGCACACATATAAAGCACCACAAACGCACTTCTGCGGGTTTGATAGAGGATGGCGCTTGGGCGCAGAACCCACGGAGCGCGGAGACCAGCATGGCGTGGCCCTGCGCTGCTTGTCCGCCCGTGATGTCCTCCCACTACAACATCATCATCCATGGACGTTACACGGCGGCGCGGTTACACGGAAATTAGCTCAACATTGCCGCCGTCTCGTGTCGTGTGCGTTTGAGGAGGGAATGGGTACTGAGGCGGTGGGGCAGGGGAGCGCGAGAGAGATGAGCAGATGGAGCAGATGCATGGCGATGGGTCGCCGGTTGGGGTCCTTGAGGAACGCGCCGAACACGTCCGTGGGCAGACCCAGGAAGCCCCACAGCACCTCCGCGCCTGAGCCAACATCAGAATGCCACGACCACCACCACGAATGTGAGTCCACCTTATTGGCAGTCGAGACGTGTGAAAGAGGCCCGATACCGGGTCGGATAAGCGCGGTCTTGTAACGTGGGTGGTCGGCGAAGAGCTCAATGCTATGGAAGATCCGCCGGTGGGTGGCGTCTGTATACATGTGTGCGGCGCTGCTCGCAGTCGTGCCCGCTCCGCTCGCCTCGCCTTCTTTGCCTTGCTGCCCCAACTTTTGCAGATAGTCTATGCCGACCACACACACACACACACACACACGCATCGTTTGCATTCCGTATTGTGTGAGAGAGGGAGGAGGGAGAGAGAGGAGAGGGAGGGGGAGAGAGAGGGAGAGAGGGAGAGTTGCGATTGCTAATTTTTGCTCTAGTCGGGTAGGTGGGTGGGTGGGTGGGTGGGTGGTGACTGGTGGGGTAGTACTACCTGTAGCGAGGGTGATGAGGGTGTTGATGATGGCGTGGATGGGGGGCTGGAGGTGGGCGATCGCGAGGAACTCGGGCTGTTGCTTCTCGCACAGGATGGCCAACAGACCCAGCCCGCTCGCCAGGACTGCCTCGCCAGCGTCCGGCAACTGCACCACGACACACGGCGCACGCACGAGAGCGATAAGCAAATGCCGGCAATTGCTGGGTCAGCACACATGTGATGGAGGAGGAACGGAGGCGGGGCCGTACAGCGAGAACGTGGGCAAGGGCGAGGAGGACGTGCCCCTCGGGAAAGAGCCGGTGGCTCATGAGGCGTCCCGCGAAGTCGTCGGAGAAGCACAGCAGGTAGAGCGCCTCGACCACCTCGCAAATCTCTTCGGCCACCTGTGTCGACAAAACACGCGCGACACGCGCGACGCGATGAATGAATGATGAGGTATGGCTTGCAGATCGTACGATTGGAGCCAAGACGCGTACGGTGGGAGTGGGCGCATGCTGGTAGTGGTGGAGCAGCACCCGGAGGGAGTCCACGAACGCGCCTATGATGTCGTCGAGCTTTTCGTGCCCTAGCACGGCGTCCAACAGGGGCTGCTCCACGTAGCCGCCCTCGTCCTGCGTTTACGACGAACACGACAAGACGCATCGAATCAGCCACACGATTAGAAGAAGAAGAAACACCACACGCGCACGCAAAGAAGAACACACCCAGCCATCGGGACGTGGGCGCAGCAGTTCCGCCTTGAGGGCAGAGCTGAGGGTGGCCGCCGCTCGGCCCACCGCCGTGCTCCGCTGTCCATTTGCGCCTCGGCCATCCACCGAAGCGCCGTTGCCTCCGGTCCCAGCTGGGACTACCTCCTCCCTTTCCCTGTTGTCCTCTGTAATGATCATGTTCTCCCGACGACGATGATCGTCGTCGTCGTCATCGTCGTGGTCGGCCCTCGAGGGTTCCTCGCAATAGTCGGTCACATGCCACACCTGCACCAAGGCACACACCGCCACGCGTTGACACACGCACCAAAACGAACGCGCCAACAAGGTGGGTTTAGAGGGAGCGTCATAGAGGAGGGCGACTGGGCTGGCGTACGAGGAGACACAGGAGAAGGTCGACGAAGGCGCTGGCCGAGGTGGCCAACCTCTGCGCGACCGATGGCACCTCGCCAGCCGCTGCCACCAACGCGCTGAGCACCTCCATCCCTTCCATCACCGCTCGCCTGCAGTTTGTTACGGACCACACGCCCCTCCATGTTGGTGAGCTCACCAACAACCTACCGACGGCGAAGCGACACAACAGGAAAAGAAAAACGAAATTGTCAAAGGGGGCGATGGGAATATTTTTTACCGGTTCGCGAATGCGGGGCTGGGCGAGCGAGAGGTGATGAGGGTCAGCAGATGAGAGGGCAAGACGCCCACGAGCCACCCGACGTCCACTTCTTCCTTTTCGCCTTCTTCCATCCCCGGCGTTGTGGCTTCTGCGCCCTCGTCCATTGGCTCCTCTTTATCTCCTTGTGCAGCGACCTCCTTCTTCACGCCCAAGCTTTGGTGTGGCTGCTGCTCCACCACTAACACCGCTCGAGCTGTGTCGTTGTCGTAAATAAAATGCACGTTGGGCTAACAACGACAAAATGTGATTGTACAATCACATTTTATCGTTGTTTGTTTTGTAGAATTGGGGGGAGGTGATTTTGTTCAACGGGTCCAGAGGAGGCGCTTACCGGTGGCGGGCGAGGGGGTGATGCGCGGTCCCAATGGTCCGGCGGACAGGAGGGCATGGACCGCCCCAACCAGTCGCGTCCCATCCTCGAGCGTGGGAGGTGGCGGCAGCGGGGCCGCACCGCAGGCACTGACCAGTTGCTGCTGTCGTGGAGAGAAACGCTGGCTTCGAGAGCCACCAGCAGCACCCACCAAGTATCGCCCTTCTACCTCCATCCACCGTTTTGGGGCAAGTGTAAAAAAGCAGACCTCTGGAATAAGTCTCCTGCCATTCGACCTACACACAGAGAGAAATGCGGGCAGGAGTTGGCGAGCGGTTCGTGGTGGGCGGCCCGCTGCCCATCCCCCTGTACCGCTGGGGTCCCGCGTGGGGACCCTGGGGCAGCCATGGCCATCATGCTGCTGCTGGTGGTGGTGGTGTTGGCAGGGGAAGGAGCAGCAGCTTCTTGGTGAGCTCGCCCCTCACGTGCCCGCCCGTCTACGTGGGTGCCCCGCTCAACCGCTGGCTCGAGGCCGTGTACGACTTCCCGCTGGTCTACCATCGCACCACGAGTGCCGCTGCCGCTGCCGGAGAGGCGATGGTGGCCAGCGCCAGCTACTCATGGAGCGGCGGCGGCGGCGCAGGAGTGCTGGTGCGAGGGACCCCGTTCGCTCTGCACTCGCTGCCCGTGCCGTCTAGTTCCGCGCAGCATCGCGCCATTCGCGCCGAGTTGGCTTCCCGCCTGCCGTGCCCTTCCTCCGTCTGGTTAGGTGCGTGACTGTTGCGCACACACAGCTCACCACCAGTCAATGCGTGCTGTGGCTTTTCCGTGTGCTCACGTTCCCCATATATTTCTTTTTATATATTTCTTTATATATGTGTGGTGCCACCACCTCTGTGTGTGTGTGTGTGTGTGGCAAGGCGGGTGTCCGGGTCCTCGTGGCCTCGCGCTGTGCGCTAAGGGAACGGTCGAAGGAACCGTGGCCGGTTCGGAGTGGGTGCTCGAGGCCGGCACCGCCATCCCACCCAGCACGGGCTTCGTCTTCTCCCTGCCCTCGGGCTTTTCGTACACACCCACAACCCACAACCCACAACCCACACATGGCACACCCCGCGCCTATTCACGCCTACCCTTCCCACGACCACCACGACCGCCGCCACCACACGCACCACCCACCCACGACCACCACGACCACCACCCACCCCACCACCCACCCCACCACCCACCCCACCACCCACCCCACCACCCACCCCACCACCACGACCGCCGCCGCCACCACGACCAGCAGCAGCAGCAGCAGTCACATAAAGTTCCCTAACAAGGCGTACGTTCGGTGGTCCTCACCGTGCGTACCCAATCAGGCCTGTGCAGGAGGGTTCGGCTGTGCTGTCCGTCGAGCAGCTCGAGCGCTTGCACCACAGCGACCGGCCGCCGCCCGACCTGTACGCCCACCTTGTCCCCGATGGTCTCACCTCCGCTGCGGAGTACAGCAAGGTACGCGTGCTCTTGTTCGCGTTGTCTGTTGCTTGCTTGTTATGACGACGACGGTGATGGTGATGCATGATAGTTTGCTTGCTTGCTTTTGCTTGCTGGGCGGGAAGGCGGTGGATGAGCTGCGGTCATCATTTCGGCGGGCGGACACCGGTGGCGCACGGGCGCTCATGCTGCAGCACGACCTCGCCGACTCGGTGGAGGCCGTGGTGCGTGCGCTGCGGGCCACCGCGGGAGTCCTGCGCAGCAAAGGCGCGCGGGAGCACGCACCAGCAGGATCGGAGTACGGTCGGGGCCAGCAGCACCAGCAGCACCAGCAGCACCAGCAGCACCAGCAGGAGGAGGGGCGGCGGTGGTGGGAGAGCATCAGCGGTCACATGGAGGAGGCCCACGACGCCATCCTGCAGACCAGCCTCGGCGCCCACTGGGTGCAGGCCTCGTGGAGCCCGGCCCGACGAACCCGCAACCAATTCCTACCGCTGGGCCGCCCGAGCCTGCTCGCACTCCAGTTCACGTCGCAGTTGCTCGACCAGCAACTGGCCGAGGCCCTGGACGACGGCGACTACGACCTCGCCGCGGTGCTCGTGCGGGAGATCAGCTTCCTCAAGCAGTCCCTCCTTCACTCGCGCGCGTTCGTCGGCCTCGCCGCCTTCTAAAAACAATTATTACCAATAAAAGAACAAAAGCTCAAGCCAACAACCAAACTGCGGTTGTCCCCAAGCGTGTTGACAACAACACAACAAAATAGAGCAAGATGGAGAGGGCCATCGTGCGCATGCACTTTGATGACGACACTTTCAAGACGTTTCTGCTCGTACCCACCACCACAGCGGGGGATCTGGTAGCGCAGGTGCAACAGAAGCTCAAGACAGACTCCCCCTACTACCTCCACTACTCCGCCCCCGGCGTTGCTGGTAATCTGACACTCACTAATTACATCTCCCCTTCCTCCATTAACGCTGCGAATAATGATGATGGATCACCTTATTACTCCTCATTTGTGGGTCCCTTTCTCCTTTGCTGGCTGCAGAGCGTTACATCGCGCCCCACGAACAGGCGTGGCCCTTCTACAAGCAGCACGGGGAGCGCTGCCGCTACACCTTCCGGCTCAAGGTACGACAACTACCCCGCCTGCCCTAAAACAAACTCCCGTCGCACGACCGGCTGGAACCCAGACACTGCTTTGTCCCCCCCCCCAACGAGCGAGGTCGTTGTGGTGTTGGTTGTGGTTGTGAAAAGGGAGTCAGCTGCGGAGCGCTGACCAATCCCTCTCCCCGCGTTCTCCTCGCCTGGGATCCAGGCGCCTGCCGGTGCACCTCCGCCGACGACCGCCGCGGCTGGAGGTATATATATTTCTCTATATATGCCCGACCTCACGTCGTGCTTTCTCCTGAGCAGCAGGGGACATGTTCAGAACAGAAGAGAGCAAGTTGGTGGCTGGTGGCTGGTGGTGGAGGTGTTGTTGATCATCCGGTCGTTGGTCGTGTCGTGTCGTGTCGTGTGCGTCGTGCCGTGCGGGACCAGGTGCAGGTCAGACTCCTGCCCGAGCTGCGCCGCCCGCGCCTTCCGCGGCCGGTCGAGCGTCGCTCCCGCCGACGCCGGCCGCAGCTGGCCAAGCGCCTGCGTCCCTGGACAGTGCAGGCAGCGTCGCCTGCAACGACTTTGATGCCCTGCTCAACCAGCTCCAGTTCCCGGGCGTTGGCCCAGCCACTTCCGGGGCTGCTGGCGCTCATCCCTCCGGGGGCTTTGACCCTCTTGGTGCGCCTGCAGCCCCACATAGACCCCACACAGACCCCATACAGACCCAATGCGTGATGACCCTGACCACATGTGGTCACCATCGTGACTGGGTTGTTGTGCATGCCCCTCCTGCACAGGCGGACTCACGCTGGGCATGAGTGCCATGGGTCTGGGTGGAGCTGTCGCCCCGCCTTGCGGCGCCTGTGGCCAGCCCGTGGCCGATAAACTGCTGGTGGCGTTCGGCATGCATTGGCACAAGGTCTGTCTCTTCCCTCCGCGCACCTTCCAATCGCGAATTGCCGCGCGCGTGCGCGTCTTGAACGTTGCCCGGCCGCTGCTGGCTTGCGACGGAAGGTGAGGACTCTGAGTCGCTCGCATTGTGGCGCGTTCCTCCGTGTGTGCGTGCTGCAGTACCATTTGGCCTGCGCCATCTGTCGGCGCAACTTTGACGAGAACGACGTGCCCGTGGTGGAGGGGTCCGACGGCAAGGCCTACTGCCGCACCGACTGGCTCGATCGATTCGCGCCCAAGTGTGCGCAGTGCACGTTCCCCATCCAGGGCGATTGTACCAACGCCCTCGGCAAGCAATGGCACCCTCAGGTGAGTGGACGCGCACGCCTCCCCCCTCTCTCCCCCCTCTCCACACCAACGGTGTTGCGACACGACGCATTGGGCTCACTCGTTCCTTCCGTCGTGTGTTCGTGCAATGGGTGGGTGTGGTTGGTTGGTTGTGGTTGGGTGGGTGTGGTTGGTTGGATTCTAGTGCTTCGTTTGCAAATCGTGCAACAATCCTTTCACGGGCAGCTTCTTCGAGCACGAGGGCTTTGCCTACTGCGAGAAGCACTACTACGAAGAAAAGGGCCTCATCTGCCCCGAGTGTGATCGGCCCATTATCGGCAAGTGCGTGCGCGCCAAAGGTTCGTCTTACTACTACTACTACTACCTCAGTATCCTCCCCATTGGCCGCGCTAGCTCCTGTGGAGCCGAGATCTCCCCCCCCCCCAATCCTTTTCCCCCGTCAACTGACGCAACTCTTCTTCCCCTACCCCATTTGGTGCTGCAACCCAGAGAAGCGATACCACCCGCAACACTTTGTGTGCTCCCATTGCAAGACCAAGCTGACCAACTCCTACTTCTTCCACGACAACAAGGTCTTCTGCAAGAAATGCTCCATCGTCTTCTACGGCTGACCCGACACCTGCTTCCCTCCCTCGTCAGAGTGTTGGCATACCGGGTTGTCTTGTAGTACTCGCGCTGGTCATAAAAAAGATGGGCATTATTTTGCCTTGGTTGGGTGAAACGTTTCTTTTCCTTCATGGTTTCTTCTCATTTTCTCCAGCCATTCCTTTCGAAACGGCCACGGCGTCTAACGCGCACACATGGAAAGGCACGGCAGCGGGCACCACCACCGCGACGGCGACTGTGATGCAGAAGAGGAAGGCGACGAAGTGTTGTTGCTGCTGCGCAACGGGGGTGGCCACGTGGGCAGTCAGCACCTCGCCCTCATCAATCCGCGCGCCATCCACGAGCCCTCACCCCGCCACGACGAGCAGGAAGCCGGCGAGGAGGACGAAGGGGAGGAGACCGATGGCGAGGACTTGCTGGACGTGGTGCACCACCGCCGCCGCCGCCGCCACCACCACCACCACCAGCAGCAGCAGCAGGCGGTGCTGGACACGACGACCAGGAGCAAGATGAGGAGGTGGAGGAGGCCTCACGCCCCCTGCCCTTTGCCCATCTCGGCCACGAGCTGTCCCTGCACCTCCAGCTAGACCACCACCACGACCACCACCACGACCACCACCACGACCACCACGACGATGAGCAGCTGCAGCCGAGCCTGCCTCCGCCACCAGGGGCTGGCCGAGGTGGCGAATACCACCACCACCACCAGCAACTGCAGCTGTTGCAACAGCAGGCGGGCGTGGTTGGAGGGGTGTGTGGGGCAGCCGTACCATCGGACAGCACGACCACCACCACCACCACCACCAGCACCAGCAGCAGCAGCACCAGCACGGCAGTGGTGGGCGGGCGGCGGCCTCCAGCGGACTTCCGGTGCACGAGCAGCAGCGAGGAGAAGTGGGAGCGCAAGTTCCAGGAGCTGGTCGAGTTCAAGCGCGCCCACTCCTCCTTCAAGCCCCTCAAGAAGGCCAACCGCAGGCTCTACTGGTACGTACGCTGCTGCTACTACTCGCCCCATTCCAACGCCGCTGGCCGGCTCGCTGAGACTGAGCGCGCGGGTGGGTCCCACACCAGGTGGGTCAAGGACCAGCGATCCTTCTTCCGGGAGAGCCGGCTGCCCGCCCATCGCATGGAGAAGCTCGTCCAAGTGGGGCTCTTCGAGGGGGACACCCGCACCGTCAGCGCCAAGTGGGACGACATATGGGAAGAGCGGTTCAGCGTACGTTGTTCCTCCTCTCTCCTCTCTCCTCTCTCCTCTCTCCTCTCTCCTCTCTCCTCTCTCCTCTCTCCTCTCTCGCCCACCTCCACGCGTGTCGTGTCGTTACCTCGTGGTGTCCTGAGCGACACTATGATGCGCGCGCACTCTACTCACCGTGTACGGCGACACACAGGAGTTGGTGAGTTTCAAGGAGCAGCACGGGCACACGTTGGTGCCCAACAGAGCCAATGCCGCGCTTTATGCGTGGGTGAGAAGCCAGCGCCTGGCCAAGAGCAAAGGGCGGCTGAACGACACGCGCAAGCGGAGGCTTGACGAGATCGAGTTCTGCTGGACGGGCAAGCAGGGCGAGGCCCCGCGGCGAAGTCCCGGTGCCGGCGGTGGCAGCGGCGCCAAGCGACAGAAACTCGAGATTGTCGTCGATGATGACCAGCGACAGGCTCCGCCCGACGTCGCGGCCGCTGCGAGCCTGCTCCATGCGGCGCCGAGCGCGGCACTCATGTCTCTGCCACCGGGCCTGGGCATGGAGGGACTCAACGTTGACCACCAGC